ACTGTGTTAAGCAATGCTCTAAGAATGAGGCTCGGCTGCGGTGACAATCGGCCTCCCACATCTTTCAAACCAATTGTGATTCTGCTTAAAACAAAAGGCAGACAGAAACACGAAGCAGCGCAGGCAGACAGTCTTATTCACCTCGTCTGTGCAGCATTTACACTCAGCACACAGTAGGCACAGAGCAGACGCTGGCTCCATGGAACTGGTCATTTTATCTAAACAGCTCTGTGTTCTGTTCTGTTTCCAAATCAGAGCCAGCAGTCATATCACCTAATGTGCTTTCGGGCAATCTTTCGTTGATCCTTGTGATCCCATTAACAGAAGTGATTAAACAACCAAGTCTGACACAAAATTGTCCTGATGGAGGAGTATCAGAGCTGAACGTGACTAAGACTTGGTCGAGAGATTAGCAAGGAACCAAGAAAAGCCACTGGGAAAGCAGATTTTAAAAATCATCAGTATCCTCTTTTTAAACGAGACAGTTAAGATACATAATTTCCCATTTTTTCCTCACGGTTAAGCAGAGTCTGATTCTTACTAATACTAAGTATCCATATGACATATTGCCTAAAAGCTTTATAGTAACAGTATTTATCAATACATGTCACAGAGAAGAAAAATTAAATGACTGACTGAAATAATTAGATTACTAGGAGTAATAAGCAACTCTTACTGCTCTGAATATAATACAAGTTTATAGGCTGAAAAGGTACTTACCAAGGATACTTCTTAAGTATGGTTTAAACAATATTTCACAAAGCATTATTTCAACTAAAATTTAGGAAATAGCTATAAGGCAGGACTTATAAATGTGGAGACCACATCATATACAGGATATTTAAGTAAATCAAGCCCTGACCCAAAAAAGGCTTTAAAAAGTGTAAGACTCTTTTATTAATAAATATTTTAAAAGAAAAAAAAATAAAAGCAACAGTACAGTTTTAAAGATAATGTTAAAAGCACAGATTCTGAGAAATTCTTCAGAAGCCCTACTAACATGTCATCTCCCATGCAGAGAAAGCAACTTGAGAAACTGCTTACACCTTACACCTAGTCTGGCCAGCTGGTAAGGTTCAGTAAGTGGGTGGCAAAGAGGAAGAGCAGAAGGGAAGAGACTGGGCATAGTCATGAATATACTTTAAATTTTAGGAAGACATAGGGAAGATTCTTTCATGAGAAATTCAGGAAGGACTGGAGGTAAATGATTCACAAAAATACAATTCAGTGGAGTAGGCCGTGATAACTCAATTTAGGGTATAGGCACTATTACAGATTAGAGGGCAGAAGACTGTAAGGTCAATAAATAGCCTTCAGAAAAATGCTCAGCTCCTTGGAAGATGACTTAGTTGGTGCCTCCCATCACGCATTCTCCTAAAATAAGACCAAGTAACAGAATCAAAGATTTAAGTGTAGAAGACAGAACCTTTACAGAAGTAACCCTGGATTTGCAGATACAGAAATGCAGGTAAATGATCAATCTGAGACACAGAAAATGGCGAGCCACCTGCCTACTCAAATTATGAACAATAACTATTAATGATTGCTAGGGCTTACCTTCAAAACGTGGCTAATAAATTCTACCCCAATTTGTCAGCCCTGAGTATTGAGTGAATGAATTCATAAACAGCTGACATTTACAAGTTCTGGGGAGAACAACCTCCAGGAACTTTAAACACCAAGAACTTAGGATCATGTTGTTCTTTACTGAAATCTGACGACATGACTGGGAACCTACCTGCAGCAAATCACAGCTTTGCACGACAAAGCCAAGTCCAGGAAATACTGGCGCACTCCAAAGGTTAAGGCGTACTTGAGGGTCTTCCCGTCGATGATGAGAGCAAAGTCGTTCTCCTTCCGAAGGGCGTCACCTAGTGTAGTGCAGTGACGGCTGAGAGTTTCCCTCGTTGCCTGTAAAATTAAACAAAAAACACCCTCAACATCTACTCCCATTTGTTCTGCAAAGATGCCTTCAGGATGTTCGGCAACTATGTTGAGTTATTTTTAGTGCCTTTTATGTTTCAAATTGCTTTCACAAACCTCCACTTATTTGATTCTCACAAAAGCCCCTCGAAGGAGATTGGACAAACATTATCAGAAAAGAAAAAAAAAAAGTAAATTACTCCCTTTAAAGTCACACCTCTGTTCCGAGCAGGGTCAGGACTAGATTATATGTCACCCATGGCCCTGCCATCTTTGCTCACGATTTCAACCGCACAATCACAATCTCGCAAAAACATATTCAGTAAATTATCTTGTTAATGCACCACAACACTGAACTAGTCAAAATTGCTTAGCTATGAACCAAGGGGAAACATCAGGGAATATAATTTAAATAATTTATGGGTATTATTTCAGAAATACTCAATGCGACGGAAACTTTAATTCCTAGTAACCGAGAGGAGGAAATGCAGTATCTGTAATCTCTTGCCACTTCATGGATTGGCATCTATAACTTTAATCATGATTTCACGAGGTGCTGTGTTTCAGTTGGGGCTGGTGACATGTGGCCTAGTAATCTTGACGGACTGGATAAAAGAACCTCCTCCATCAATGAAGAGTTCACTTTCAGGCACAATAAAAACCTCAACGTCAAGGAACGCTTTGTTCACCTCCAGGCTGCAGAGGGGCCATATCTGTCTCCCTCTGTGAAGAACCACTGCTTTCCCAGCTCTTCAAAGGCAAAAAGTTTCAAGATACTTAGTTTTTCTCCCCAAATCCTGTAGACTCTTCCTATAACCTAATACAGTCAGCTTCTTATTTCAACAGAGCCCCAACATTGCCAAGAAACACAACATGAGCTTTGCACAAGGAAATATAAGAAACAACTATTGGAAGCTTTGTTCTGAGTGCTAGACTCTGAGCTGGTAGCTATTTATATAATAAACACAAATCTATATTTATATAATAAAAGATATCTATAATAAAATAATACTTACATACTAATTTTTGTTATAGTCAAGGGAGATACAAGTATTGTTCCAATTTAAGACTGTGGTACACTTTATGTGAGTTAGCCTCACAAACAGGGATGCAAAGGCAGAGATGATTAAAATTTTATATTGGGGATTTTTGAAGGTGTTTCTGCATTTGTATTTCAAATGTGGTTCACACTATGGTCTGGAATTTCAGAATCTGTTCATCAGAATAATAGAACCGTGTTGTACTGTAAAGTAAGACTGCCCAAACTTCCCAACACTGGAAATTCATTTAACACTTCCCCTGTTCCTTGTTACAGTGACATGGAGGACCACCACATAGCAGCATTCTTTGCAAAATTTTCTGTTCACACTTTACATCAGTGGGGAAAAAAGCTGTTTTAATTTACAGGCCTCCCCCTCCCATTTCTGGTTGGAAATTTTTGGTCCAAGAGGACTTTAAGAAAAAGAGGTGAAAAATGTCAGTAAAATTCTGCAAGCAAAACTGATCAATGACTACCCATCGTAGATTACCCTGGATTGTCTTAAAAGCAAATTCCCATGGGTGAAATGAAAGAGCAAGCAAATTAATGAACTGATGAAAAATAAAAATAAAACAATATTTAGCACATACCATGCACTGGTCATGGTTCTGAGGGCTGCACACACAGATACAACACTTGTGACAACCCTATGCAGGAGGCACGACTCTTGTCCCCCTTCTGCAGATGACAAGAGTGAGACTTAGAGTGGAACTTCCTGGGCCACAAATACATGGTTTCTAATTCCAAACTCAGAATTAAATTTCTGTGCTAGCTTGTCTTTCTCTACATAATCCAGCAAAAACAAACCGACAGTACCAGGCACAGCAAATTACAAGATGGAATCCCCACACCCACTCCCTCCGTAGTCTCCCCAGAGCCCTCATCATCTGTCTCTCATCTCGTCTTGACCGCCAACAGAGACTTCTCTCTACAAAACAAATTTGAAACACAAATCATGTCTCCTCTTGCTCCAAATTTTTTCAATGGCTTCCTACTGCTTACCTGATAAAGCCCCAAATCTAAGCCTTACTAACTTCTGTTCACATTTCCCTTCGAACTCTTGACTCCTTCAGTTCCCCCTCTCTGGACCCCCCTTTCCTCCTGAAGAGATTCCACTGTCTTTTAAATCGAGTTCATCCTCCCAAGCCCTCCCAGACTCACTCCACGCTACCAAGTCTAATTCACTCTATGCAAGCAAGGCCCTCAGTTCCTCGAGGGGAGGGACAATGCTTAATCTGGCTCCCAGCCACAAGCACAGAGCCTGCAATTACGGATGCTCGGGAAGTACATATTTATGGAATGAGAGCACTGAGACACTCGGACTTCGCCCCACTGGAAGCACTCCATTTCCCCTCTATTATCACTTCTGATTCCAGAGACAGAGAGAGGGTTTGGTCTTCTGTTCTGTGCTCTTTAATTTTCCAGAGAACAAATAATTCCTATTACTTCAACAGTCTTTCCGACCAAGGCCCTGCCCCCTAAAATGCATGCGTGTGGACCTGCGTATCTATTTCCTGCCTGCCTGCCTATCTCCCTATCTAACATTCTACCGATGCACCTATCTTCCTATTCATCCATCCATCCAACCATCCGCCACTCTGTTTTTTAAGCTTTTGCCCAAGTCACTTCTGATCTGAAAACCCAAATGAAACCTGAGATGCACTGCAGGAGGACTTCAAACTTCTTTGCTGCAAAGCAAGACTGAAAGTCAGGTAAAGCCCTGAGTTGTGCAAGCTCCCTCATTAACCAGCCCGTGGGACCCACTCTAACTCCTTCCACTGGTGCCCTCTAACACCTCAAAATATGTTGAGAACTTTTTCGCGGTGTCAGTACCCCTGGGTTTCCTGGGTGATTATCACAGATCCTCAGCAAATCAAAAGGTGCCAGGAGATGTCACAGAGATAACATTTCAGATGGTGAGTCAAGCTCTTCGCACAGTGAATTCTCCCGTCAGCCCACCTGGGGTGCAAGGTAATAACAACAGAAAAGTTTCAAACATTTTCTTATTTTAGTTTATAGTTTTCTTTTGTAAGCAGCTCTGTTGTTGGTGTGCGCTGCCAGTTACATGTTATATTTTACCCTTATTTATACTGCCAGGAGTATTAAATTTTTTTTTTTCCTTATGGAAGTTTATTGCTTCTCCCCTAAGCCTGGGAGCCATACTTTATGGCCATATTGCATTGAAGCTTATCTCCTGTAGCTAGAAATAAATTTATTACTACATTAGCTGTTGCTTTGTTTTCTTTTTGGCTACTGAAGGGGGAAATGTTTCAACATTGAAACTTAGTGACATGTGAAAGTGAAAATACATAAATAAGAAGCTAACTCTGAAAAAGGATACAAGACCACATAGTACAACAAAATAAAGCTCTGTATCTCCTTGTGCTACAAAGTCCGATTTGTGGGCTAAGAGAAAAGGAGTATCTGTTGCCATCATTAGGGACAGTCGGAAGTAAAGGCAGTCTGGGGAGACAGAGGCATGGGGAAAGGCGGGGCTCAGGCACCTGGCCAGGCGGGGATCCAGGGAAGGGAGGGAGCCGCGGAGAAAATGGGATCTGCTGGCACCTCCCACAGCCTGCATCCCACGTGGGTGCTGGAGTCCAGCATTCAGCTCTCCTCTCCGCCCGCACACGCTCATCAGGAGCCCCTCTGTTCTCCCACCACGCTTGCCTGCTGTGCCAGGTCACAGTTCAGTCCACAACCAGCAGTCCTCCTGGGCTCTTAGTCCTGACACTACAGGAGGGAATAAAATCATCTCCCCCCTGGGGACAGGCTCTACTCCAGCTCTCCTCTTATCCACGGGTGCCCAGTATGCTGATCTAGGCTTGTACCCACGCTGAGCCGATTCCACTGCTCCCGGAGGCTACTCAGACCTTCTCTTTTCTGCTCGAGACTCCAGCTTTGGCCCCTGTCACTGCAACAAACATCTACCTATTTACTGAGAACATTCATACCGACTTTCCTCTCTCAAAACTTCCCTTTACCTAATCCTCCCTAATCTTAAGTCAGAAGGAAGACCTGGCTTCTTTTCTCACTTCTGTCCCTCCCTGGCATCTTTAGTATCCCCCATTATCACTATTTTTTCCTTTAAGACTACATACTAAAAGCAAGGAACAAATAAACTGAGAAATGTCCCCTTGACTCTACTGTTCCCCAGTCCTCCAGATGACGCAAATACCCCCATCTTATAGATTCTCCAAATACTTGTTTATACTCACACAGTGTAGCATGATGAATAATTGCTTATCTGTTTATATCTCTACTTCCCTTTGGGACTGAGGCCGTTGATAAAGAGATGAAATCAAATCAGCACAAGCTTGGTAATGAAAGAATAACCAAATCATTAGTGATTGGAGAATACCTTGTGAGAAGTGACAGTGGTTTTCTTGTGGGACCATTTTGAGGATTGTTTTTTGCTGCCTGTAAAACTTCTGTGTCATCTTGGATACTCTTAATTAGAGCAATAAATAAAATGTTATTTATTGGGCTTATTTTATTATAGAGGAAATGGAGAACAAAGTGGTGGTTATGATCTAACACTTCCTTCTATCTAGTAGAACATAAATTGCCTGATGAATATAACATAATCAACGCCTAGACAAGCTACTTAGTGCTCAAGCCAGGTTATGTAACAGTGGACGGAGGAGAAGAAACAATAAGTATTTGGTTTATAAGAATCACGCTTGGAAAAGAAAAATAAAAGGAAAGAAAGATGCTTGGCAGATAATCAGGTCAAGTAGAATTCCTCACAAAGATGACTCTGACCGGAAGGTCTTAATGAAGTTCTATTTGAACCTTTGGGGTTCTGCCTGGCAAAATAGATAACATGTTCATAGAATACCTGTTGGGGAGGGGGAAACGTCCCACCCTTCCCTTCTGGAATTCTTTTGACGGGTCTAATAATTAAATTGGCACAAGACAGTTTAACAGGGGGAGGAAAACAAACCAA